TTTTACTTTCTTATCTCTACACTGGGTGAAGTAGAATGTGTCTGCCTTTTTCATTAAGACTAGGAGCACTACTCAGTGGCAGGCCGACTTAACTCTAAAAGAAATGGCCACCTCTGACATGAAGAACAGATGCCATGTGCAGCCGCTCCTAACATGGAGTACAAACACTGCTCATCCTGTATACCTGGATTAGGAGCCCTTCCAGGGTACTATCAGCCGGGCCAGCTGAGCCCAGGTTTTTACTTCTCCCACTCCTCCTTTTTCATCCGGGCTTGGGACCGGCAAAGGCGGAGTTTTGATGTCTTCATTTGCCATATTCTTTGTAACTATTTACCGATATGACGCAATTATTTACATATAAAGATTTTATCAGCTCAGAAGCCATATAAATAAAATTTTTCTCTGATATTCTTAAAAGATTATGCTCTAGCATGGCGAAGAATAAAAAGAATAAAAACTGCCTCGAAAACAACTCAGCAGTGTTTATAAATTTTGGATTGTAGCTGTCGAAAAACAACAGTTTAGACCAGCCCAGGCCAACCTAAATGACGCCACGGGCCGCACGGAATCGTAAACAAGGTCTAAATTTTTTTTATTTTTTTAAATAAAAATATTATTATAATTATTTCAATATATTTTCTGTTTTTGAATATACAGACGAGAAATGAAAGTTACAAAAGAAATATAAAGTTAAATGGCGAGCCGCAATTTTTTTACAACGGGCCGCGGGTTGGCCAGGCCTGGTTTAGACCATCGTCCATGGACCCCCATGGGAATGATATGGATGAGATACAAAAGCTACGTTCAGGTATAGTGCCCTAGGGATGATAAGTAGTGGAAAATAAAATTAGAAAATACAAAAGTTTTAAATTGGTTTCTCGACACAGATTTATCACTGTAAACCTTTATTTATATTGTGGCAAAGAAATAAGCCATCTAAAAAGCATATGTGCTCGAGGTCTGGAGACGCCTTCTTTATTTTTAATATATTACTCTGTAATATCATCTTTGTAAAATCATCTTTAAAATATTTCTTTGCTTGCTTGTTCAATATTCTCTAGCTGTAGATAGTTTGGTTAGTTTGTTAATAATTGTCGACTAGTCGTGGTGACGTCATCAATAAATACTTTCACATCTCCAGATATACAGAGACTTGATTTCTACGCTACAATATTTTAGATGCATTGGTATTCCATATGGCCACTTAAGTATATGATAGATTGACTTTCAAAAAAGAAGAAAGAAAAAGAAGTAAATCCTTTGAAATGTGGACATGGAGAAAGCTACTCAGTGTGTCATGAACAGATAAACGGTCAAATATTTAAATCTTAAATTAATCCTTTTATATATATATGAAACATAAACACTTCTGCCAGTTAGAGGTTTTTTTTTTTTTATTTTCTCAAAGTTTCAACAAAAAATATTTTGTCTTCGTCAGAAAAAGTAAATAAAAATAAAGTATTTGGCAAGGCGTTAAAAGAAGAATGCCCTTGCAACCTCAGAACAATTTTTAACGCCTTGCCAAATGCTTTATTTTTTATTTACTTTTCCTGACGAAGGCAAAAGATTTTTGTCGAAACGTTGAGAAAATAAAAAAAAACTCTGGTCGAAATGTCTATTTTTCATATAAATATTGTCGCGGAGATAAATAAAGCAAGGGCAAATTTGGGAATAATTAATTTATTATAAGGGTGGGTATTTACCTTCTAGTTCTCCAATAAAATTATCTACAAGAGGTATTTATAGGGAGAACAACTTATCCCAAGGTAAAGATAATAATAATGAGCGTCGTCAGCCCCCGAGGCGTCCTGTTTTCCTTATTTGTCGATCAGATTCCGAGAACCCCTCACACCTGTGGTCCTCCCCCCCCGGAGTCCAGGGATGATTGACAAGTGTCCCATGGTGCCTCTTGTGATTGGAGCGGCAGATCCACTTGACAATATGAATGCCGGCCAGGCAGCCTCTATCTTTACGATTGATTAATCCAGTTATAGATCTCCCCTATAATCCCAAATATGGATAAAATACTGACCTACTTCAGACATATAATAAGAGAAAACAGTTTAGAATATACGTTGATATTGTAACAATTTTCCATTTATATTCTAGCCATAGATTTGGCCCAGCCACCTTGCTAGTAAAACACCTCTTTGGTAGATTGTGAAGATTCCATTAGATCCCGTGTGGATCTCATGGAATAAAGATAATAAAAAGTCGGTGGATGAGAGGGTAACACGCTCGATTCCCGAAAGTCATGAACCGGGATTGAATCCCACGTTAAAATTTGTTTAATCTGTGAATATAACCTTCATATATCATTCACTGTTTCAATTATCATGAACTAGGTTGCTCTTGCTGAGCGGTACCTATTAATGTGATTTTGAACCAATGGAATAAAGTCCGCCCTAGACTGACGAGGGCCATTAACCCGAAACCATGGTCTCTAGGTGGACGCTTTTCAGTTTGCCAAAGCTGGTGTTGTGGCTTTGTCACCGACCTGAGGCCGCTAGTTGCGGCGACGGTCAATAGATGGCGTCTGGTTTTAGACGTCTATTTTGACGGGAGAGGCGACCTTTGTTTCTTTAGATCAATTTCCTCCCGGAAAAATTTCCGTCTATATTTTAGCCATAGATATGGCCCAGCCACCTTGCTAGCAAAACACCTCTTTGGTAGATTGTGAAGATTCCATTAGATCCCGTGTGGATCTCATGGAATAAAGTCCGCCCTAGACTGACGAGGGCCATTAGCCCGAAACCATGGTCTCTAGGTTGACGTTTCTCAGTTTACCAAAGCTGGTGTTGTGGCTTTGTCACCGACTCGAGGCCGCTAGTTGCGGCGACGGTCAATAGATGGCGTCAGGTTTTGACGTTTATTTTGACGGGAGAGGCGCCCTCTGCTTCTATTATAAAAATTGAAGAAGGAATACTTGCAATGAGCTAGCTATGAATCAAGAAAGCTACTGGAAGGTCACAAGATGAGCAACGAGTAATGGTCACTAAACAGATTAAAGTGAAGAAATTCTGTCCATATAGTCAACAGATATCTACTTAACACAAAACAATAACGCGCCATTTATACATATAAAATGAAAGGATTTAAAAGCACGAATGTTTCTTTTATACATAACTAGCCGAATGACCCGGGCAACGCCCGTGTTTTACCCGACTGTAGATGTTACAACGGTGATCCTTAGGTCGCTGGTTCAAATCCGGCTCGAGGGAGCCGGCGAGCACGTGACCTCCCTGTGCGCGCGCATCCGTGACAGAGGCCGATGAGGAAAGACGGCCGTGACTATATATAGGGATACAAACTTCTACTGTCCTTACTGCGATGAAAAATCTGAGATTCCATCCTTCAGTGCTGCGTATATAAGCAGAATCGTCCAATACAGTATTAGAGCTCTGAGAAGCGGTCTGGTGGATTAAATTGGCGAACCCGCAGAGAGGTTCACCACTGATGAGCCAAGCCCTCCCAATATATTTTTTCATCGCAGTAAGGGCAGTAGAAGTTTGTATTATGTATAAAAGAAACATTCGTGCTTTTAAACCCTTTCATTTTATATGTAAAGATATCTACTTCATGAACGCTAACACAACAAACTTTTATTTGAAAAAATAGTTCAAAAATTAAATTGTAATGGGATCAGGTAGATAAATTAAGAAAAAGGTATCTACTGCTCCAAGAATAATGTACACCTATTCCCCGATTTACACGGTAGATACACCTACCCCCCGATTTACACGGTAGATACGTTCCTGAGAAAAACGTGTAAATCGAGGGATAGGTGTATATTAAACTTTCAAATCTGAATAGGTGTTCGCCCCCTCATGAATCAGAGCCTCCCAATATTCTTTTCAACATAGGTAGTATAGAGTAGAATATCGCATTTTAGTATAGTGCGATAAAAACAAAAAAAAAACTTATTTGGAAAACCGTGTAAAACAAGTACCGTGTAAATCAGGGGATAGGTGTACGTTCCTGAGAAAAACGTGTAAATCGAAAATTAAAAATTTTCGCGAAATTTGTATGCGAAAAAATACAGACACAGTGTGCGTGTGCAGCAAGTCAGCACATAAGCTTGGGATTCCTCGTGAGATGTGTACACAACGCATGTGTTCAATCACAGTAGCATTTAGTATAGTGCGATAAAAACAAAAAAAAAAACTTATTTGGAAAACCGTGTAAAAGCGAAAACGTGTAAAACAAGTACCGTGTAAATCGGGAGATAGGTGTACTGTTATCACATAGTTTGGCATTCTCACGCCTTTCCAGCCTAAATACCTGTTCAATGATTTTTCAGGATGCCCCAAAGACCATCTTTTTTTGGTTCTTGAGGTACATCTTTCACCACGCTGATGAGGACCAACAGTCCTAAACACGTACATGGGTAGCTTTTCTTGATTTATAAAGAATGGGTATTTGTCCAATTCTGGAATAATTAAAAATCAACAATTAGTTGATATTTATTCCGATAGATGACGCAAACCATCAACAACATTTATATTATACAATCAGGAAAGATACCTGGTTCAAAATCACATTGATAGGTACCGCTCAGCAAGAGCAACCTAGTTCATGATAATTGAAACAGTGAATAATATGTGAAGGTTATTCATATATTAAACAAATTTCAATCCCGGTTCATGACTGTCGGGAATTGAGCGTGTTACCCTCTCATCCACCGACTTTTGAAAGATACCTTTTTTTCTTAAATTTCTATATGTTTTAATGTGTGTGTGTGTGTGTAAAACACAAAAGAGGGATGTAGTTAGATATCTAAAAGAGGTGAAAAAAAAGTAGGGTATACAAAAAAAAAGTTGTTAATACAATATAATACGGCTTATTATTTTAGAACAACATTTGAAAATTATCCCGCATGTGTTTCTTTTGAACGAAAAATCGAAATTCATTTTAAGGAGAAATAACAATTATTTCCAACCTTAGGGATGAAGTATGAAAGTATGAACCGTGAAGAGTAATGATAAACGGAAAAATAAAGTTTCCAGGGATACAAATCGAACCCACAGTGTTCCGCTTACCGGGCAGATGCCATGTCCACTAGGCTACCCTGGACATATTTTTCCGTTCGTAAATATTATATAAAGTAATTCATAATGCAATATAATGCGGCTTATGATAATTGTTATTTCTCCTTAAAATGAATTTCGATTTTATTCAAATGTAGATTATACAAACAAATTGTTGTTACATTATATTTTCTAGAAAGAATAGCCATATATTTGCAAATATGCAAATACGTTTTCAAATCGTATGTTCTTCCTTCTTTACGTCTCAAGTTAAGTTTTACTTTATCAAATGATATGTGTCTTATATATTTATATCAGCTCAATTAAAGTAAAAAGTAATTTATAGTTATTGTATTTTTTTCAAAGGGGTTTTCACGACTGCATAATCTGCCCAGATGTCTTCCTTTACGTGGCAGGCGGGAGAAGCAGCACAAGTAAGGGACTGTCCTGTATGAAGTACGGTGTCGTGAACCCCGAGCCGCTACGGTAACCGTGAACAGGGAACTCTGAAATGTGGCTGACTAACGGGGTAATGGCACCCCTCCTCTACGTGGCGGGTGGGAGAAGCAGCATAAGTAAGGGACTGCCCTGTAGTACAATGTCGTGAGCCGCTACGGTAACCGTGAACAGGGAACTCTGAAATGTGGCTGACTAACGGGGCAATGGTACCCCTCCTCTACGTGGCGGGTGGGAGAAGCAGCATAAGTAAGGGACTGCCCTGTAATACGGTGTCGTGAGCCCCGATCTGCTACAGTAACCGTGAACAGGGAACTGTGAAATATGGCTGACTATCGGGGCATCCGTATGTATTTTATAAAGCATAAAAATAGCTTAATGCAGTGAAAAATAGTTTAAATATGAATAGAGGTATAATACAAGTAGTATCTTAGAATACTTGTATCATAGATTAGTTGCAATACAAGTAAAATCGAAACTTAGCTCACAATCTTGTCATCAATGTCTTCATCATCCATTAACAGCATTCCAACTTGTAAGGCTAGCTAGTATTTTGAGCTTAACATCTAACAGACAAACAATCTAAACAAAAATTACTTATTTTGAATTTTACAAAAAAATAATAATAATAATTTTTTTTAAAGGCATCTCCTTATCAGACAACTGAAAGTTGTTGATGGCTTACGCCATCTATCGGAATAAATATCAACTATTTATTGATTTTTAATTATTTCGATAAGATGGCGCAAGCCATCAGCAACTTTCAGCTGCCTGATAAGGGGAGATGCCTTTTATCTTTTTTTAATTTATGAACTGGAATAAATAAAAAAAATCAACAAATAGTTGATATTTATTCCGCTAGATGGCGCAAACCATCAGCAACTTTAAGTTATCCAATAAAGATATGCCTTTTTCTTAATTTATGAACCTTATCCCAGTACAATATCACATTTGTACTATTTTTTTTTTTTTCACAATAATGTAAATGAATCTAATAAAAATCCATATTTTTATACTTATATCTATATAGAATGATAGATTCAATCCATAAAACAACTTCCTCAAACCACGATTAGAAAGTTAAGTGAGCTTTAGTTTTAATTCCAAGAAACAAAAAAATAAAATAAAGCTACCATCCAGAAATAAGTAGAAAAAGAAGAAAAAAAGGGGTTTCATTGATTCTTCCAAACGGTCCAATACCGTTAGATCTGGGCATCTAAGTCGGTGCCACTTAATTACAGACACCTCAAAAAAAGCCACTTATTAAAAGTGGATCAAGGCAATTACTTCGGCTTCCCTAATTAACTGCTGAGAAAAACTATTTTCTAATTAGAAAAGAAATACACTCTCTCATCAACCCCACACGGGCCTCCCCCTCCCCCCAAGCTTTTTTCTGTTTGTTGCTCCTTTCTTTGTTACGCTAAGTAACTAATCTTTAATCATGTACCCAATTAAAAAGATCTCAACGGCTAAAACGCAGAGATGTTCGGTTTTCTCTTTTTTTGTTGAGATGCCCTTAGCCTCTTGTAAGCCTAAAGAAATACTCTCAAAAAGATCAGAAAAACTCTTTGAGACGGTATCAGGCAATTAGGTTTTTTAGGGTGTCTTTTAATTGGGAATCTTAGGGTAGGCTAACCATCCTGTAGGACGTGGAATGATAGAACTAACTAGCTTAGCTTTTTCTAAGAGAGAATTCCACTTTTTTTTCAAATGAGATAATTCTTTGAAAAAAAAAATCCTTGAACGTGATTCGAATTAAAGTTCGTTAATGTAATAGAGTTGGATTAAAAATTTGCTTATTAATTTTTAATATTGACTAATAAACTTTTTTTATTTATTTGAAAAGGAGATGGATTTATAAATAGAATATTTTTAGAAGATATTTTATAAAATAGAGTAAAATAAAATAGTAATTTATCTGTTCCAAATTAACTTTATTAGGTACAGCTCAAAAAGAGTAACCTAGCTTATGTCTACTTCTTCCTTATCTCCACTCAATCATATTAGGGTATCAAGTTGTGACCCTTGATGGTGTCTGTTTGATAACCATCATGACTGGGTGAAGTAGAATGCGTCTGCTTTTGTCATTAAGACTGGGAGCACTACTCAGTGGCAGGCCGACTTAGCTTCAAAAGAAATGGCCGCCTCTGACATGAGGAACAGACGCCATGTGCAGCCACTTCTAACATGGAGTACAAACGCTGCTCATCCTGTATCCCTGGACCAGGAGCCCTTACAGAGTACTATCAGCCGGGCCAGCTGAGCCCAGGTTTTTTAGTGAGCTTGTTACTGCTCCCCCTCCTCTTTTTTCATCCGGGCTTGGGACCGCCAAAGGCGAAGTTCTTAGCTAATGTTATTCACATGAAAAGTATGAACAGGTTCTTCACAGAAAAAAAAAAATACAATACGGGATTCGATCCCCGCTTCTTGGATGTTGGGAATCGAGGTATTTAACCACTCGTCCACAGACTTCTCTTTCAAATCGCAATAGCAAAAATCGACTATATATATGTTACAATAAATTTTGGTGAGATGTTAATTATTAGCTGATTGATTTTGGATATAAGTGGATTTTGCCAATGGTATGCAGTCGTGACCTGCCCAGAAGTCCTCCTTTACGTGGCAAGCGGGAGAAGCAGCACAAGTAAGGGACTGTCTTTTAAGACGAAATACGGTGTTGTGAGCCCCGAGCCGCTACAGTAACCGTGAACAGGGAACTCTGAAATGTGGCTGACTAACGGGGCAATGGTACCCTTCCTCTACGTGGCGGGCGGGAGAAGCAGCACAAGTAAGGGACTGCCCTGTAGTACGGTGTCGTGAGCCCCGAGCCGCTACAGTAACCATGAACAGGGAACTCTGAAATGTGGCTGACTAACGGGGCAATGGCACCCCTCCTCTACGTGGCGGGCGGGAGAAGCAGCACAAGTAAGGGACTGCCCTGTAGTACGGTGTCGTGAGCTCCGAGCCGCTACAGTAACCGTGAACAGGGAACTCTGAAATGTGGCTGACTAATGAGACGCCGTTGTCTCCCCTTCTAACAGGGGGGACATCCTCGAGTACCTGACGCCTGAGCAGAGGTCTGTTCTGAAGCTATTCCTCGACATGGCAATAGTCGGGGAGATCTGTCCAGGACGTGACATCATACCAGACGACCCTCGGTGGGATTCGTCTGATGAAAATAATATTTCATTTTACTTTTTATTTTTCTCCTTTTAACCCTATATAATATTGCCACGTGGAAAATTAGGGAAGACAAAAACTTCAGGAGTTGACAACAATTTATTTCAGGCAAGGACAAAACTATGAATGGGGGGGAGAGAAGTCCGACCACACCTCCCTGCGGTCCCCCCTGGACCCTTGGAATATTCGACCAAATTCTGGTTAGTTTCCAATGTGACTAACGTGGAGATGCATGGAGACATCTAAGACTCTTCTTTGGACACGACAACAACAACAACAACAAAACTATGAATAGTAAACAAAAGATAAGCCACGAGGGAAATTTACAGAGTAGTAAAATATAAACATAAAAATGACCACTCTGTTAATAAAATTAATAAATACTTTGTTACAATATTATATTAACGTTGTAATAAATCAGTTTCAATCTCAATTTCTCTCTCTCTCTCTCTGTACTTCGATAGAAACGTTTCAAATACGTATTAAAGCTATCTACTTCCCATTCTCATCTCAGTAATATAATACAATTCTATTACATCAATGTCTAACCCAATATGAAATACAAGTATGAAATACTTGTATCTGACTAAAAAATCATAGTCTCAGCCTTTAAAAATATTGAAATACCAAACATTGGGTTTTGGGAGCTATTGTGGTGTGTCGATTTATTAGTCCAGCGATTTATTGGTATTACTTATTAGCTACATTTTTTAGGGGAAGACAAAAAGGACAACACCCTAGAACAGTGATTCTCAACCAGTTTTCCGCGGTAATTTTGTGTGCCGCGAAATTCTAAAAATGTGCCGCCGAATTTTAGTCATATGATTATGTTCACGTTTGTATTGGTTTTTCTTTTTTTCTTTTTCATTTTTTTACTTTTTAAAATAACGAAATTAGCAAATTGAATGTTAGAGATGTATATTACTTATATTTTGCATAGAAATATTGATACATAATTTGAATTTTCTTGCATTCAAGTTAGCAAAAGTGTGCCGCGAAATTCTAAAATTGTGCCGCCAAATTTTCAAATCTTTAAAATAATGCCGCAACAAAAAAAAGGTTGAGAATCACTGCCCTAGAATGTCTATTGGGTTCTTATTGACTTCCGCTGATCTATCGCGCCACACAGCGGTGGCCGTCCGTACTATTTCCAGGCCCCGCTTGTATGTTTGCTGACGGCGTGGTCTGTTATCCTAGCAGGCTGGAAGGAAGTCTCTCAGCCCCCACACTATCTAGAGAAAATGAAAATTCACTTAAAATTTATTATAAAAAAAAACATTAATTTATTCACTCTTTAAAACAAAAAATCTTCAATTAAAAACATTTTAAAGTAATTATGTTATTGTATTCAATTTAATTTCTATAAAATATATAATCATTATTATTTTTTAATCTATTATCTGAGAGTTT